TTTTTTTTTTTTTTAGGAGCATACCAGGGATATAAAACAACACTTTTGTTACTTGAAATAAAATAAATGTTAACTGAAATAAGATTTAAAAAAAACTTCAGCTTTTGTCCAAGGCAACATTTCACATTTTCATTTAGTTTAACTTATATAACAAAAACTATGATAGTATCTGGATGATGCTGGAATAACACTGGCATACACCACTTACTCCTGATCTCGGATGTGCCGCGTTGTACACATTTTCAGAGTGGGTTCTGATTGTTCTGCTGGATCATCTAGCGCTTTAATTGCGTATTTTTCTCAGGTGATAATTATGATGTCTGTGCGATCTGCCTCGATGAGTATGAAGAGGGAGATAAGCTGAGAGTGCTGCCGTGTTCACATGGTAAGTGAACCTGTCGTGTCTTTGCACATGCATGCAAGGAATTAAACATGTTTTAGTTTGACATTCTGAAAAAACTAATCAAAGCATTTAGAGCTGATTGGAGCTGATCAGAGCCATACTGGAGGTTTCTCACACGTATAACCTGGCAGACTGTTTAACTTAAGTAAAGTAAATTTTAATAGCAGCCTTTATATGGTGAAGTTTAATTATCATTGAAGCTGAAGAGTAATATCACTCATGAGTTCACCTACATTCATAGAAATGCATGGCTGCAGGGAAAAGCACTGATTTCACTCAGAAGATTACATCCAGAATGAGTGCAAAAAGTCATCTTTCTTACTGAGTTTTTTTTTTCTTTTTTCGTGTTTGATTCATGTTTTAAGAATCTCTTTATTTGTGAAAAAATAATATAATAGGATTGATTACAGAATAAAGAAGCTGCATGTTTACAGATTTTTTTTATCAAGTTTCAAATTTTTAAAAAGTAACTTGATTTTTAAGTGATTCCTTTCTACTTATTTTAGTAAATATTATGTAAAATAAATATAAATTTCATGGCAGACACTGTTATGCATGTGCTGTTTTCTATTTTTATATTAAATAATGTGATATCATATATGCAACTAAATACTGAGCAAAGGGTCTGAATACTTAGGACCATGTGATGTTTCAGTTTTTCTTTTTTAATAAATCTGCAAAAATGTCAACAATTCTGTGTTTTTCTGTCAATATGGGGTGCTGTGTGTACATTAATGAGGAAAAAAAATTAACTGAAATGATTTTAGCAAATGGCTGCAATATAACAAAGAGTGAAAAATTTAAGGGGGTCTGAATACTTTCCGTACCCACTGTATATATCTATATCAGGCATCCTGCTCTCTGGTTTCCAAAAATCGTCAATCAAAAAATAAATAAATAAATAAACATATTGGTCAACATCGATTTTTTTTTCTTTTCTTGTATTGTCGTCTTAACCTCCGTAAATGCATGTGTAAAAATATTCCTGCACATTAAGTCACCAAAACAACAAACTGAAAAAAATAATAAAAACGAACTTATTGTAAGAAGTGGCATTTCACTGTGAGCCGCAAGAGAAAACGAATTATTTTAGTAAATATTATGTAAAATAAATAGACATTCCATTGCATAAAGTGTTATACATGTGCTATTTACTATATTTAAATTAAATAGTGTTTTATCATACAGTGCTTGTCAAAAGTTTGGAAACATTATGATATTTCAATGTTTGAAATAACTTCAGCTGTCATTCAGTGTCATTCGCTCAGTTATGTCATTTTTAATGCAAAGATGACATTGTTGCATAAAACCTTCATATTCATGTCATGATTATGAAGGTGTCATGTCAGTCTTATGCACACCCCTTCAAGTAAAGTGTAACCAAATCCAGTAAAAACACTACTATTGTGAAATATTATTACAATTTAAAAAAAAAAAGTCTTCAGTGTCACACGATCCCTCAGAAATCATTCTAATAGAAAACCGCGGTTTTAAATTGTAATACTATTTCACAATATTAGTGTTTTGAGTTTTTCTTGGCGAGCAGAAGAGATTTCATTAAAAATACGTTTGACAAGTGCTGCATGCATATATCGGTGAAATAGCATTTTAAAGCAAAGTAGAGTTATTTTCTGTCCTTGTACAGAATAGCATAACATCGTTGTTTTTGTCCTGTTGTTCAGCTTACCACTGCAGGTGTGTGGACCCCTGGCTCACCCAAACTAAAAAAACCTGCCCGGTGTGCAAGCAGCGTGTGACCCGTCCCAACCCAGAATACTCCGAGTCTTCAGACTCCGATGGAGAGTCAGGGCCGCACGAGGAAGAGGAAGGAGCGACCAGCGAGGCAGATTCTGAGCGCACGCCTCTCCTTCGGCCCTCCAACCCCGCCTCCTCCAGCCCGCCTTCCACTTACTCCTCCACCGTAACGTCGGAGGCAGCCGTCGCCACGGTAACGACCTCCGCTCTCCACGACGAGTACCACTCGCCCATAGAGGACTCGGAGGAAGGTACTGATGATGATAGCGATACCACAGAGCTCATGGGACGGGGCGCAGTACTAGTCTGAGGGCTTGATTAAAATCACAGAGCTCATATTTACACCCCTTGTTTTGGCGCACTCCATCCATCTCGTTCTTAACTAGCTATAGTGCGACCAACACTACACAGCATTTGTGCAGCAGTTTCTGGCTGTAATCACACATTTGTGCATGTTTCACTAAAGCTTCTTTCCCCTGAAACTTGGTCCGTGTCCAAAAAGGAGTTAACGTCTTGAAGTGAATGAAACAAAATGTGACCCTGGACCACAAAACCAGTCATAAGGGTCAATTTGTTGAAATTGAGATTTATACATCATGAATAAATAAGCTTTCCATTGATGTATGGTTTGTTAGGATAGGACAATATTTGGCTGAGATACAACTATTAGAAAATCTGGAATCTGAGGGTGCAAAAAAATCTAAATATTCTAATAAAATAATCTAAAATCTAAAAAGTACTTAGCAATGCATATTACTAATCAAAAATTAAGCTTTGATTTATTTACGGTAGGAAATTTACAAAATATCTTCATGGAACATGATCTTATCTTAATATCCTAATGATTTTTGGCATAAAAGAAAAATCTATAATTTTGACCCATACAATGTATTGTTGG